ACGTAGGCCCCTGTGCCCATACTCAGTGCATGTTGAGACCTCCCATATCCATCCCACCTACGTCAGTGGTTGGGAGACTGTCTGTTTCTGCCTAGGACCTCTGCTGGGTAGTGCCTGTCCTGACATGTTGTCATCAGGCCTGGGTACTCAGCAGCCCCCTCTCCCCTCCCACAGCGCTGCTTCATGATGCCCCAGTCCTTGGGTGTCATTGGAGGGAAGCCCAACAGTGCCCACTACTTTATCGGCTATGTCGGTGAGTTGGGTCCGCACCTTATAGGTGCACAACCATGTCCCTTTGGCCTGTGGGTGTGGTCTTTAAGGGCATTCTGTGAAGTATCTCCCCAACCCTGTCTCACCCCACATCCTGGGGCAGTCACTACTCAAGGCCACCAGTGGAAGAGCAGCATGCTCTGTGGGAGGGACTTAAGGAGCCTGGTCCAGGGTGGTTTCTTGTGTGTCTCCCTCTCCACCCCCATCACCATTCCATGGCAGGTCTGAAATGCAGCTGTATCTGTCCCTTGCCTCTGCCCAGTTGGGCACTCACCCACTTGCCCACTTCCCCTTATCCTCCCAGGTGAGGAGCTCATCTACCTGGACCCCCACACCACACAGCCAGCTGTGGAGCCCACTGACAGTTGCTTTATCCCTGATGAGAGCTTCCACTGCCAGCACCCACCATGTCGGATGAGCATCGCAGAGCTTGACCCGTCCATTGCTGTGGTACGTCCAGGTCATGTGAACTTGCAGGCTGTTTCAGTCATTTTTGTGCCAAATCCTGTTTTAAAACAAAAAGGAAAACCTTCAGGTTTTTTAATTTTCTTCAACATTTTGGAATAAGTATTCACATGGTTTGGGATCTGAAGGGCATGAGAGCATGAACAGTGTTCTCACATACCCATATTCTCCCCCTCTTTGGGTACCAACCTTTATAACCTTGGAGCAGGCCAGAGCATGCGTGTAGCCTGAGTCTGAGTGTGAGTGTATGGGCTTGTATGTGTTAGAGCGCATGTTGAGTGTGAGTGTGTCCCCCACACACCCACTTTTAAACACAAAGGGCAACCCCTAGACACACCCCTGCACCACCTCTTTAGTTTTCTGGACCTTTTGACTTATCCTATCTGGGAGATGATTCCCTAAGAATTTCTCTTCTTCCCTTTTGATTACATAGTTGGAATTTTGGGTGTATAATTTATGCAAATCTGCCTACTTTCAGAATGTATTTGATGTAGAAAGAAGCCAAACAAAAAAAACCCTAGAAATAAAGAATGAGGCAAATCTGGTCGTGAAACGAAGCAGTCTCTGAGATGTGGCATGACCCTGGAGCACACACCCTCCTCACCTGTGCTTCCTGGCCCCTCCCAGGTATCCTGGGAGAGTGGCAGGTGCAGAAAAGGTGGGCTGGGGTTTAGTATAGTGAATGCATCTCTTTAGCTTACAGTGACTAGAACTCATAACAGGTCAAACTGGAGAGCCAGTCACCGCAGGAGAGGAAGTGGGTGCATGGAAGTTACAGAGGAGGAGAGTGCTATGTTTGAGCCCCAGTCCAAACTCTTAGGGCTGAGACCAAAGGGAACATACAGTGGGGTAACTGCTCCCACCATGAGGAGGAATGCACATAGGCTCCTCTGGAGTGTTGCTGTGTCCTACCCCACAGTCAGGAGGAGAGAGCACCCAGCTGGCACTTCTCTTCCCATTTTGTATTTCCTTTGGTGTTTTTTTGTTTTTTGTTTTTTTGAGTTGGAATCTTACTCTGTCGCCCAGGCTGGAGTGCAGTGGCATGCTCACAGCCACCCCAACGTCGACCTGCTGGACTCTGGCGATTCTTTTTTTTTTTTTGAGTTGGAGTCTCACTTTGTCATCCAGACTGGAGTGCAGTGGCCGCTCCCGGCCACTGCAGCCTCGACTTGCTAGGCTCCAGCGATCCTTCTCCCTCAGCCTTCCAAGTAGCTGGAACTACAGGCGCGTGCTACCACGCCTGGCTAATTTTTTTGATTTATTGTAGAGATGAGGTCTCACCAAGTTGCCCAGGTGGGTCACAAACCCACGGGCTCAGGCAGTTCACTCACCTTGGCCTCACAAAGCGTGGGATTACAGGCTGAGCCACCGAGCCCGGCCTCTGGTGATTCTTTTGCCTCAGTTTTCCAAGTAGCCGGAACTACAGACATGCGCTACCATGTCTGGCTAATTATTTTTTTTTTAATTTATTGTAGAGACAAGGTCTTGCCAAGTTGCCTGGGCTGGTCTGGAACCCACGGGCTCAGGCAGTCCACTAGCCTTGGCCTCCTAAAGTGCTTGTAATTATAGGCTGAGCCACTGAGCCCGACCTTTTCTTTCAGTTTTTGGTTTTTTTTTTTCCTCGTGTGTGTGTATGTGTGTATGTGAGAAAGAGAGAGAGATTGAGAGTTTGAGTTAGGGTCTCATTCTGTCACCCAGGTTGGAGTGCAGTGGCATGATCATAGCTCACCACAGCCTCAGCCTCTTGGGCTTATGCAGTCCTCCTGCCACAACCTCCCAAAGTATTGGGATTACAGGTATGAGTTACCTGCGCCTGACCAGCTTTTGTGTTAACACCTATAAATCTGATGACCTGCTCGACTCAAGTGATCCTTCTGCCTCAGCCTTCCAAGTAGCTGGAACTACAGGCATGCACCACCAAGCCTGGCTAGTTTTTTGATTTATTGTTGAGATAAGATCTTGCCAAGTTGCCCAGGCTGGTCTCGAACCCCTGGACTCAGGCTGTCCTTTCACCTCTGCCTCCCACAGCGCTGGGATTACAGGTGTGAGCCACCATGCCCAGTGATAGTAGTTTTAAGAATACAGTTTACCCAACATTTATTCATAGTATCCCACATCTCGTTATTCTGCAGCACCAGGTTCCTTGTTCAAGTCTAGCTGCCGTGTTCCTCAGGACATCTCTTGGTGGCCTTTCTTGCTGAGTTTCTAGGGAGGTAATGGGTCAAGGCTGAGTCTCCAGGGAAGAAGAGTGCTCTCCATTCTACTCTCACATATAATTATAACTTGCCTCATTTCCAGAAGATTCAGTGAGGCTTTAAAATATATATGCAACTGAGTGTGGTGATTCACACCTGTAATCCCAGCACTTTGCGAGGCCAAGGCAGGGGGGTTCACTTGAGCCCAGGAGTTTGAGCCCAGCCTGGGCAACATAGCAAGACCTTATCTCTACAAAAAAATAAAATATAAAATTTAGCCCAGCTTGGTCGTGCATGCCTGTACTTCCAGGATGCTGAGGCAGGAGGATCACTTGAGCTCAGGAATTTGAGGCTGTGGTTAGCCATGATTGTACCACTGCACTCTAGCCTGGGTGATAGAATGAGACACCAACTCCAAAAAAAAAAAAAAGGTGTATGACAAATTCCTAACCCTAACCCTAAACCTTAAATACTGACCAAAAAAAAAAGTATTTGACTTAACATCTTATGGGTAAATCAAGGCAGAGGGCAAAGGGCCAAGTATTATGACAGAGCCCAAGAGGCACTGGGGTACTAGGTGCAGAGGGCCATGGGCAAGGCACCTTTGGATGCTCCCTTCCTAGCCTCAGAAGTAAGGAGGTCTGGTGTATGTCCGGTCTTTGCGTGCTGGGGTACTGTCTGCTGTGTGGCTGGCGGTGGGAACAGAAATCCCAGCCTCTTAGTTTGCTAGATGTAGGCATACTGCTCTCTGCTTACAGTTATTTCATTTTAGGGGTTTTTCTGTAAGACTGAGGACGACTTCAATGACTGGTGCCAGCAAGTCAAAAAGGTCTGTAGCTACTAACCCCCATACCCAGAGCTGAGTCAAGCCTTCTGGGGAGACAGGCAATGGGGAATACAGGAGTTAAACATCAGCTTCTGGGTCTTAGGCAGCCTGGCTTGGGGTTCTGCTCACAAGGTGTGTGGGGAGCTTTGTACCCACCTTGCACAGCTTTGCAGGCTGAACAGGGTAGAGTGTCGTGTGGTGCCCATGTGGCAGTTGCTGCTTCATCCTTGCAGGGTTAGCAAGCTTGGAGCCGATGCTTCTCGTGAACTTCAGAATGGGATTTTCAGTTTGCTTGCCCGTCTCATGTTGTTAGAGGGGTTGTTATCTCTGGAGGCTGCTCATCTTTGGGTGTGGCCTGCCAGCCTTTGTCCTTTATGGTCAGACTGATCTGACCATGAGCAGCTACGGGAGCAGCAGGGAGCACATGCTGTATGTTCATTGCCACATTGCCTTCTTGTAGTAACCTTTAGTGTAGAAACTGTGCCTCCATTTTTCTCATTAGTGAAATGGGTTAACAGCCATGTCTGTGGCTGGCCATCTGCTTCTCTTGGCTGCAGTGATCTCTAGGGTGGGGCTGCATCTAACGGCTGTGTCTCGCTGACAGCTGTCACTGCTCGGAGGTGCCCTGCCCATGTTTGAGCTGGTGGAGCAGCAGCCTTCCCATCTGGCCTGCCCCGATGTCCTGAACCTGTCCCTAGGTGAGTGCTGAGGCTGTAGGACTAAGTCCAGGCAGGGTCACTTAGGTGGTCACAAGGTGGTCTGTGCCTGCCTTGCTTCTCCAGGTCCCCTTGTTTTTGACTATTAAGGTTTGGGTAAACCCCAGGCACAAGCAGTTGTGTGAGACCAGGCATATGTAGAGCTTCCCTGCCTCTGACCCTGAGCTCAGAGCAATACCTGCCTCACCCTCACCCCATGCCCAGGGTGCCATGGACTCCCCCAGAGTCCACAAGGCTCTGAAGGAGACAGAACATGCCAGGCTTTCTCTGATGACACATGCCAGGTGGGAGCCACTGGCCATGGAGAGTACTGAACCCTTGGATCGTGGCCTGCATGCCTGAGGAGCCAGACCTTGCCTCGTAGACTGCGGCAGTAAGTGGGCTCGGCCCCCACCCCTCAGAGCCCTCAACTTGTCACAATGAAGTGAGCACTTACACCTGTGTCTCACTGTCAAGAACTCTGTGTTCAGCCAAATGTAGTGGTATGCACCTGTAGTCCCAGCTACTCAGGAGGCTGAGGCAGGAGAATTGCCAGTTCAGGTCCAGCCTGGTCAAAATGTTGTGACACTGTCTCCAAAAAAACAAAACAAAGAAGAACTCTACAAGATGAACAATGATGGGGTCTATTCCTGATGGACTACAGAGGACCAGGGGCCTTGAGAGACACTGGACAGATGCCCTGTCAGGCCTGATTGTGGGGGCTGGGCGCTCTCCACCCATCACTCCTCCCTGCTCCTTCTCTTAATGAGCCTGACTTCTCTTTCCTGTTCCCATCCCCTTTGGTTTGCAGGTCTCAACAATCACCCTGGCCTGCTCAGACCTACCAGTCAGGGACAGTCACCTCCCTTGGGGCCCTTGGGCGTGGAACTACAGTGCAGGCACCATTCAGTCTGTCCCCTTCTCTAGCAGATGTTTACCCACATTCCAGAGTAACCCACCTGAGATGTCTGATGAGTTTATATCTTGTTCCTCCTAGATTCTTCTGATGTAGAGCGACTGGAAAGATTCTTTGACTCAGAAGATGAAGACTTTGAAATCCTGTCCCTTTGAAATCCTGGAGTTGGGAGATGGCACCCTTGAGAGCCCAGCCCTGCCTTGGGTGCTCAGTGCCACTGCATTTCATCCATCCAGCCTGCCCGCCTGCTGAGTGCCGCGCATATGCGCCGCCTCCGCCCAGAGGGCCACCCCACTCTCCTCGTGGACTGAGGCCTGCGCTGCCCTGGAGGCCTTAATTGCTTGGAGTCAGACTGCCTAGCCCAGAGCGCTTATCAGGGCCTGTGCATCCACTTGAGGAACCATCTGTCAGGAGCTTCCAGAGAGTTCTCTCGACACTGCCAGCCCTGTGTTAGTGCATCGACTTCGGTCCCACTTCCTCCTGGTGCCAGTTCTGTGGTTTGTTTGGAATTAAATTCCTGTTTGAAGTTGTTCAAGAGACATGAGTTTATGGGGCACTTCCCAAGTTACAGTCTCAGAAGACCTGCAGGTTGGCCTGTGAGGAGTGATGGGCACTGTGGCCCCATGCTTGCAGACCAGGCTACTTATGTGTGCAGGCGAGCTCACAGCTGTGCCCCCTCTGCCCAGTATGGTTTACTAAGGGCTACCTCAGTGGGAGATCAGGTTGAAGGAATTATAACAAGGTTTCTCCTTGTGTTGGGGAGGAAGTATTCAAGGGTGGGGCATGTGGGAAACCCAAAGATGTCAACGTGCACAGGACAGTGTGGATAACCTGGGCCAAAGGGCAGCTGATGTGCCCCAGGGCACTTCAGGAATGACCGTCCTCAGAGGTCCCCACCAGGACACAGCTTTCTATCTCCTTTAAATGGTTGCGGCATTCTGAGGCGTACCTTATTCTGCTGCTTGCTTGTCACACCAGCTCCCCCAGCGGTGGGCCGGGGGGTGAAGCCCTCTGCCTCTGACACTTGGGCTCGAGGCTGAGTGGAGCACGCTGCCACCCAGGAGCTTTCCTTTGTGTCCTTGCCTTGCGCAGAACTGCCCTCCTGCATCATTGGGGTTTTAGATGATTTGGGGCCAAAAGGAGAAACCACTTCAGCTTTGTGGTGTGTGACAGGCAGATGGAGCAGGGCTGCATCAGCTGGTGACATTTCCAGACCCTCCTCAACACTAATTCAGCACCTGCTGCCTTTTAACCCTGCTGTTCTGGGTCCCCAGAGTGCACTGCTGCCATGGTGGTCTGCTGTCTGTCCTGGAAAAGTGGCTTTACTCCTGCTAGAAAGTGTAAAGAGGGTGTGCGGTGCTTGGGCTGTGGCAGGCCGCAGGCCTTTCTTATAAGCACTTGCGGGTGTCAGCAGAATCTGCTGTTGCTGCTTTTGCAGGTGGGGCCCTGAGCTCCCTCTGGACATACACTGCACACTCGCACTGACGGCCCATTGAGCTAGCAAAGGATACCCCAGCCCCTCAAATGTTGACATAATTTATTTCCTTTCTCTCTTCACCTCCTCTCTCCCTCCCTCCCTCCTTTATCCTTTCTCCCTTAGATACAGGTGGGGTGGGAAGGAGGGAAGGCTGGAACAATTTCCATTCCTTTTGGGCTTCGCATCTTTCTGAGTCAACAAATGCACCACTGTGATGGGAGCTGAGGGTCTTGCTACAGTGGTTGTGGGCGGAACACCTTGACCAAAGGGGAGCTTGTCTTGTGTGTTTTGAAAGGCTTACTTGAGAGAATGTTGTTCATTCTTAGTAGTATAGTTTGCAGTTCTTAATGGCAAATAATAACAATTTCAATAGAAAACAAAGTTTGTGTCTATTGATTTTTCCTCAAATTACAGTTGGATATGATTTCCAGAAAAAAAATGTTTAAGCCCTTAATGTCACATGTGGAGGATCTGGCTGACCCACATGGCAGGCTGTGAAAGGATGTGAACAACTCCTTTCTGCTTCTGGTCTGGCACTCTGCCAAGTGGGGACATCTATCCTCGCTCTCGTGTTATGATCCTAGATGAATATGTGACCCTGCGATGAAAAAGGTACACGGGTAATGTGCTTTTAGGAACAGAAATGATAGTTCTCTTTCTTCAGCAGGAGAAAGTTGTAGGAAGTGCCCCAGGGTGTGGAATTAGCCTGTTTGAATAACAGTAAAGCTCTCCCCAGGCAAGCTCGCTGTCCTGGCCTAGGGAAAGGAGGGACATGTCCAGGGCACAGAGGGGGGTCGTTGAAGACCTCCATTCCACCTGGCCCATGAAATCCTTGTGGGGAAACATAGGTGACCTTGACCTCCCCTCTGGTGAAGAGCCCAAAGCCAGACAGGAATGGGAGACACACTGCTGGGCCCCAGGTGAGGTGGACTGAGAACTTAGGTCATAGCCTCTCAAATGCCCATATTACCTTCTTGTGACTCCTGTGAAAAATGACACTTGGTGGCTTGAAGCCAGACTCTAGTCCTGGAGTCCAAATCATGCTGTCAGCAGAAGAGGGTCCTTTGGAGGCTCTAGGGAAGTGTTCCTTGTCTTTTCCAGGTGCTAGATGCCACCTCCACTCTTTGGCTCGTAGCCCCTCTCTGCCCCTCACAGTTGACAACACAACCTCTGACTACTGCTACCATGGTCTCATCTCCTGACCCTCCTGTCTCCCTGTTATAAGGACCTGTGATGACACTGGGCCCACCTGGACAGCCCAGGAAAATCTTGTCTCAAGGTCCCTTGCCTGATCTATCCCAAAGCCTCTTTCAGTGTTTACCCAAATGTCATATCCTTTTGTTTTTCCTGGGATTTGTCTCTTGGCCACAAAAGGGTGCTGAGACCCACAGCTGCTGCCCCCACACAAATGGGGGACCCTGCCTGCCTTCCATTCTAGACCACTCTATACTCTAGAAAGTGCTCTGTAGGCAGATTCTGCCAGGAGTGTCAACAAATCATTCCATCTAGGGGCAATTAAAATGGGATGGGATAAAAAGCTCCAGGGTTATGATGAAAAAAACAAAGTGAACATCAGCATATTCAGGATGTAGGATGTTTTGCCTGACTGGGGCCAGTGAAGCCAGAACACACAGGGCTCAAATCCTAGAACATGGCTAAGACCTCAACTAGGCAGGAACTGAGGTCCAGGTAGGCCCTACTGGGCCCAACACAGGGCCCTTCCCCACCTGGGATGGAGATTCCCACTCAAAGCTAGCTTAGTCCTCAGTGTCTAAGAAAAGTGAAGCCTTCCACAGATACACTTTCAGGTCAGTTTTTATTAGTATCTATAAAAATTGAAGAGAATTCCAACTGGTTACCATTTCCAGTGACCTCAGTGAAACTGCTGTTATTAAATTCCAATAAGAAAAACCACGCATATATTATCACCTCCAGGATAACGGAGAGGACCTAGGAAGACTGATCCATCATACTGCTCACATCCACACTACCAAGGTCCCTACCATGAGGACCCCTGGTGCACCCCAGCTCTGGTTCAGGACAGGCAACCTGCAGATCTCTGCTACAGGGAAACAGCTCCCGAAGTAGTGGAGTCATGCACGGGCCTTGTACAACTCTCGGGGCAGCAGGGAGCAGGCCTCTGCAGCTGGCAGCCACAGGTTACTTCCATAGCTCCTCCAGCGGCCTCTGTGCGGCTGTGCAGATGGTGGCCTCAGAGACTGTGCGGATTTCCTCGTGGACTTCTTCGAAGCTTTTGGAAGCATCGACTATCTATTTTCATCAGGGATTCAAGAGAAAAAGAAGACCATTAACACTTTCCGCTATGTTCTCAGTGCTGGCAATCTCAGTGGCCAGGCTGTGGAAGGGCCAACCTGAACCTCCTGGCAGAGTATGGGGACCTCTGGGATCCTTCTACCCACACCTTTCTCTGAACCTTGACCTTCACAGTGTCCTTGGTGCAGAGCCGCCCACCTTCCTGCCACAGCCCAGATGTGAGAGAAACGTGCCAACTGCCCACTCCTACTCTAAGCAAACCTGAATCTCTTCCCATGACCCTGACCCCAGTGAGTACCCTCCCACTGGGGTGAAGTGCAGGACACAGCACAGCAGGGCCTGCCGGAGCCTGTCAGCCAGGCCGACCTGCACCAATGCATTCCCAATGAACACTAGAGCTCGGAGGGACTATCCTTCCAGTTCACAAATGAGACAGGCACAGAGGGCAAACCTTGCCCTCTCCATACTCCTGTGACTCCCCAGAGGCACCAGCATATTCAAGGGCAGCTCCCACGGGGCCTGGGCACTGTTTTGAACATGAGGAAGTTCCACAACAGAAACTGCATGGCAGGACTAAGCCACCTTTGGTCCTGACTCAGGTTCTCTTGGGGAAGATGAATTTTGTCCTAATAGCTGTGCTGCACCCTTAGAGGAACAGCCATGAGGAACATCACTAAGGGAGGGTCAGCCCACAAGAGGATTTCTCTCCATCAGAAGGAAGGTGAGAGAAAGACTGGTGTTTCCAGGGAATCCCCTCTTCCGCTGTCAGTCTGGTTGGAGTCCGAGCTCTGACAGGGCTGACCAAGACTGTTCTCAAGCCTCTGGGACAGCAAATTCTGGGAAATCTTACAGGGGTGTAGAAGGCACTCTGAAGAATTTGACCATTCTGTGAGGTATGATGTGGAGGAATGACAATGACTTCCTTCACAAGTGCCACCTTCCCAGATGTCACTTCACTGGCTACCGTCCAGCCACACGGTCCTTGCCCAGTACTGTCTAAGATGATTCTCTGGGCCGCTTACTGTCAAACAGAACGACCATTTCACAGAAAAGAGTGTAGTTATCTGTGTTCCAGGAACCAAGAAAAGCCACGTCGCCAGCATCATCTGCAGGCAAAGCCAGTGAGGGGTTGGGGTAAGACCCTTGGCCCTGCTCTGGTGAAGGAGCTCAAGGGACTGAAGCTCTGCAGGCAGTGGTCACAAACTGGACAGTGCAGGCACTTGACCTACCAGGACCCCTCTGGCTTTTTGTGGAAAGGGGCAGCAGTGGGTACAGGCAACGAGTCTGGGAGACAAGTGGGGGTTGGGGTCAGGGTGACCGGGAGGAGGCCAGCTTGGGCGTCCACTGGGAGGGCAGAGTCAAGTGTCCTGGGAGGAGAGGGAGAGGCGGAGGCTGAGTCCTAGGACTACACAGAAACTGGAGGAAGCAAGACTGCAAGGAAATAGGTGCACGGCAGTCCTGAGCACAGGGAGATGGCCAGGCACAGCCATATGGGTCTCCATGCTCAGTGAGATGTCTGCCCTAGAGGACAGGAGAGGCCAAGGCAGGTTGGGGCTCATGTTGGAAGAGGGGCTGCAAATATGCAAGAGTGCTCAAACTCTCACTTGACCCACCAGACAAGGCACCAAACCTCAATGTTTTATAGAACTCACCAGAGAAGTAGAATTTGCTGGCACTGAGTACCCCTGAGTGGCTGCTCCTGAGGTTCCATCGCTGGAAAACCATACAAATGGCAGCAGCTTGCTAGCACTACTGGCCCAGTCAACATAGGGTGGAATCCTGCACCACTCTTCAATGGTTGCTAGTTTGCGATTCCAGAACTCTCACCTTCCAGTTCAAAGTTGGGTCTTCCATAAGCTGGTAGAAGCGCTGCAGCACCTGCTTCTGGAAAGCCTGGTTCTCGTAGAGCTCACAGCCAAATCCTTCCCGCTTGGCAGCATCCGCCAGTTGTAACTGAAGGAACAGGACCAGGTCAGGTTTGGGAAGGCCCACATCCGGCTGTTTACACCAATCCAGGGAAAAATTCTGCCAATAGAGAACCCAATGGTTAGAGAAATAAAGCTTAGTAGGGTCTAATTTTTTGTTTTAAGAGCCGCAAAATGGGGAAAAAGCAAGGAAACATTCATGAGGTACCAATGTAGAATTCTTACACAGTTGTGGCTCTTTCTAAATTTAACAAATTCAAATGTGTTGCTTTCTATCATGTCATCTTATTTTTTCTTTGTGAACGCAGGTACAAGTGGATAGAAAAGCAGGCAGAATGGCCCTATGTCTGCATCACTCAGCCCGGGGCCTACTGTGGACCTCCTGATGCAGCTCCAGACCCTCTAGCCAGGAGGAAATACAGTCTATACCTAGAGACCTTTGAAGCCTGGGTGGAGAGCAGATAGGTCCAGAGAGGCACACAGGGTCCTTAACACCCACTGGGGTGTCATCCCCCTGTGGAAGAGCAGGAAGGAGACTGGCAATCCTGGAACCTGTTGTGTGCCAGCCCCACACTAGCCTTTCCAGGGCTGTGCCAGATCTCACAGGCACCTTCCCTCTCATGCATTCTATCAACCCTCCAAATGATATCCCCATTACTGAAGAAAAAATAGGGCCAGAAAGGCTGTGACTCAAGGCCACACACCATAGGACAGCACCATGACTGAGGAAGGGGGCCCACCAATGCTTCCCATAGGGCCTACCGGTCTGTCAACAGGTCATCAGCATGCTAGGAGGAAGCAAAGGAAAAAGTCCTCCTTGTATACTTCACAGGGGAAGGACTCGCCAGGCAAGGTTATGTTAAGTTATTTTTTTAGGCCGGGCATGGTGGCTCAAGTCTGTAATCCCAGCACTTTGGGAGGCTGAGATGAGAGGACTGCCTGAGCTCAGGTGTTCGAGGCCAGCCTGGACAAATGGGTAAGCCCTCATCTCTACAATAAACCAAAATATGAGCTGGGTGTGGTAGCGTGCACCTGTAGATCCAGCTATTTGGAAGGCTGAGGCAGAAAGATAATCTGAGCACAGCAGGTCGAGGCTGCGGTGGCCGTGAACATGCCACTGCACTCCAGCCTGGGCGACAGAATAAGACTCCAACTCAAAAAAGATATTTTTTTAGATATGTACTGAAACATTTAAGAAGGAACTGATGCTGTCATCTGGTATGGCACAGAGACCAGAACGTCCCTGAGGCTTGTGACAGTACTGGGTGGTTTATCATTTTCTCGGCAGGTATATATTTGGAAATTTGAAAATAAAAGGCAGTAAAAAGTGGCAGTGCAGTCAGCAGCATTATACCTGTAAAGCTCTGGCTCCCTGGCACAGGGAGAGAGACCAGGAAAATAATAATCAAGCATCCCAGACACTCTTGACATCTGGTCTGAAAGCAAGATACTAGCTAAAGAAGTACTGCCAGTGAACCGTCTCTGAAAATGCATGTGAAATATATCATCCAAATAAAAATGATGGTTATGTCTGAAAACAGTCTGTAGCTACATAAATGTTTTGCTGTTCTCATTGATTAAAAAAATTAATCTAGCAAGGAGATAAAAGGACTAGTGGAAGAATCATACAACTCTACAGAATAATTTGGATGTAAGTCACTCATGCTGTAACTGACACTCTGCAAACAAGGAGAACTCTGGGTCCACATACCCGGCATCGCCCAACAGGAGGCCAATCAGCACTTACCTTCTTGGCGCTAGTGTAGGCAACACCAGAAAATGCGTATCTGTCCACAACAAGGGTCACGCCCTCGCTTAACTTTTCCTTAATTAATGGCCTGAAAAACAGAGGATGCTCCTGAGCCCTGGTTTCATAGGCCCTGAACTCTGATGCTTAAATTATCCTGACATTACAACTCAGAAACCCCATAGGACAAAAATTACAGCACAGTGATCTGTAACCTTATTTTAGTCAGAAAAGCTCTGGATCTTCTCTTTAGAAGATGCCATATGGACACTCCCAGGAAAACCCAACATGGAAAAGATAACTCCACTACTCCACTAAACAGTTATACACAAATTATAAAGCTAGGTGGTCCAGAAGCACAGGTAGGGGAGAGGAAAAGCATTCTCAGCTGTCTAAGCAGAGGGGCCAGCACTACACTTTTGAGGGAAAAGAAAAAGTCCAGGCAAAGAAGAGAGCCAAAGATGGAGGTAGAGAGGGTGTGGACACAGCTGAGAATGCTTTTCTCATCAATGTGCCTGGCCCAAGCCTAGACTGCAAGGATGTTTTCAACTAAACGGCCACCAAGACCATAGATGTACAAAGACGAGGGGCCTGACATTAGCAAGAGGTATCGCTTCAGCCAGAGAAGACAAGGTCAAATTCATTTCACTTAGCCAGTCTCACAGGGGACCTACAAGTCACAGGGACACCCACATAAAGAATCAACTAATCTTTGACAAAGAAGCAAAGGAGTACAGTGAAGCAAAGATAAAAGACAGTCTTTTCACCAAATGGTGCTGGAACAACTGGACATCCATATGTAACAGAAAGAATCTAGACCCAGACCTTACGGCCTTCATAAAAATTACCTCAAAATGAATCACAGAGCAAAATATAAAATGGAAAACTATAAAACTCAATGAGAATATAGGAGAAAACCTAGGTTTGGCAGTGACTATTTAGATGCAACACCAGAGGCATAATCCTAAAAGAATTGGGAAAGTAGACTTGACTAAAATAAAAAATTTCTTTGTGAGAGACATTTTGTTTTGTTTTGAGCCAACGTCTCATTCTGTTACCCAGGCTGGAGTATAGTGGCACAATCCAAACTCATGGCAGCCTTGACCTCCTGGGCTCAAGCAATCCTTGTGCCTCAGCCTCCCGAATAGCTAGGACTAATTTGCCACTACACCTAGCAAATTTTTTTGTAAATTTTATAGAGATGAGGGTCTTGCTATGTTGCCCAGGCTGTGTGAGAGATACTTTCAAGAGAATGACTAGATAAGCCATAGGCTGGGAAAAAAAGATACACCTGATCTTTTGGCCAAATAATTTAATGGACACCTCACCAAAGAAGACATACAGGTGGCAAATAATCATATGAACAGATGCTCTACAACATTTGTCTTCAGGGAAATGCAGATTAAAACAAAATGCCACTACACACCTATTAGAAAGGCTAAAATCCAAAACACCAACAGCAAATGCTGGTAAAGATGTGGAGCAACGGGAACGTTTATTAATTGCTGATGGGGATACAAAATGGTACAGCCACTTTGGAAGATAGTTTTGCAGTTCTTTACAAAACTAAACATACTCTCAGCATATATTCTAGCAATGGTGCTCCTTGGTATTTACCCAGAGGAGGTAAAAGCTTATGATAAACAGAAACCTGCATTTATCACACCTTTATTCATAACTGCCAAAACTTTGAAGCTACCAAAATGCCCTTTAGTAAGATAAACTGTGGTACATTTAGACAGTGGAATATTAATTAGCACTAGAAAGAAATGAACTATGACTGGGTACAGTGGTTCACACCTATAATCCCAACACTTTGGGAGGCTGAGGTGAGAGGATTGCCTAAGCCCACGGGTTCGAGACCAGCCTGGGCAACTTGGCAAGACCTCATCTCTACAATAAATCAAAAACAATTAGCTGGGTGTGGTGGTACACACCTGTACTTCCAGCTGTTTGGAAGGCTGAGGCAGAAGGATCGCCTGAACCCAGCAGGTCAAGGCTGTGGCAGTCGTGAGTGTGCTACTGCACTCCAGCCTGGGGGACACAGTGAGACTCCAATTCAAAAAAGGATACAACATAGGCACTTAATAAACAGCTAAATGTTGAATAAAGAGGACATCTATGATGATATAAAACGAAAAGGAATTGGGAATATCAATATTACTTATCAACTGTAACTAATGTAACACACTAACACATATAAATAATAGGGGTAACAGGAGGGGACAGTGGGAGAAGGAGAGGTAGTATGTAGGAACTCTACTTTTTCATCAATTTTTCTGTATACATAAAACTGTCTTTAAAAAAAATTAAATCAGCAGGGCAGGAGAAAGAAAAGCATCAATTAGTGCTCTTTGGGAACTAGGGAGGTACACCACCCCTGTTCAGAGAACCCTAGATTACTATCAGTGTCATTCAGAATCAGGACCACTGAATGTCAGGAAGAAACAAAGCGCCTGGGGTAGGGGGGCAGCAGTGGGATAATGTTTTTACACTTGTTCCCATCGATTCGCAGAAAAAAGCAGGTGCACCGCATGAGCCTCAATTTCACTTTTCTTTTCCAAGTAGGAACTCAGAAGTTTTCCAATTTCAGTTGATCTCTCTAGAAAAAAGAGAAAAGACAAATACAAATGAGGTCAGGCTTTCCCTCTAAATCAGAATATAACTTGGGCTGAACTTCTTGTCCTGTACTCAAGTCTCACTGTGACTTTACTACATCTCTAGACAGGCTTGGACCTTCCCCTGAAGACAAAGGAGCTTCTCTCAGAAAGGGCAGCAACAAGCCGGGCTCGGTGGCTCAGCCTGTAATCCCGCGCTTTGGGAGGCTGAGG